TATCAAATATAAGAACTCTTGCCTAGCCTAGGCCTTCTAGGTCCTAAAGAATTTCTCCATTTTTTTTCCTTTAAAGTTTTATGATTTTACATTTTAGTCCATGATCCATTCTAAGTTCATTTCTGTATAAGGTTTTTCTTTCATGTTGCATTTTATTCCTTTGGAGAGGACATATACTCTCCAGTTATGTCCCAATTCTCCCCTGATAGCTTGTTATAGCTGCTCTGTCTGTAGCCAAAGTGCAGTGAAGTCAATATGGATTTGAAAAATAAGGAAAAGTTCAGTGAAACAATTTTCTTCAGTAATGGGTAAAGGTGAGTACTCCTGCAAAGATGATTTGAAGCCACTAAAAGTGATGGCAGTGATCATTAATCTTGTGGTACTGATCTAGCCTCGTATTCTGCTGTAATGAGCAATCACACTTAAAAACTTTCAAACCCTATGGACACTAGGGTGGCGCAGTCAGTTAAGCGTCCGACTCTTGGTTTCTGCTCAGGTCATGATCTCAGGATTATGGGATGGAGCCACAGGTTGGGCTCCCTGCAGAGCCTGCTTGAGATTCTCTCTGTTCCTCTCCCTCTGCCCCTCCTGCTTGTGCTCTCTCAAAGAAAGAAATCTTCAATGAAAAACAAACCTTTCAAACCCTCCATGTTAGTTAGCCTTACCCTTAACAGGTAGTCACTGACTTCAAGGATAGGATTTGATTAATAGAAAAACTTTGCTGATACTGGACTTTAGGAAATTAATTTACATTACTACATAAGCGCTGCAGTACTTCTTTGGCTCTTTATTCATTCTACACGTTTTCAGCCTAGAATGTTCTTTCTCATGATCCAGCTTCCCAACATATGTACAAAGCTGTCTTTCCTTCATGCATTTCTCCTTTCTGTTCCTCCCTTAGCTCCATAATTTTTATTTGCTTCTTCTGATCTTTCATATGCATGTTGCATATACCTCTCATTTGGTACATACTGGACTTTATACTGAATGCAATACATTCAGTTTTTCTCATCGCATTATAAATTCCTTCAGGGTAGGAATTTTTCTATTTCTCAAAGTTTTTGGTATAAGAGAATAAACTAGGCTCCATGCGGGTCATATGAATATTTCACATTAAATATCTCTATGTAATCTTTTTAGGACCCAACACATAAGATCAATTGGCATTATGAGAATGGTAGGAATTTGGGGATTCAGTGCTCAAGTTGCTGTTGCAGAAGACCACTAAGAACTAAAGTAACTAGTTTTCTAGTTTGACTCTGAAAATATTCTCTTAAGTGGGAAAAAGACTAAATGGATCACTATGTAGCTGTTATAGCAACTTTTGTTTATAAATGTTTTTTCCTGTGTAAGTAGAACTATCAAATATTAAGAAGTACAAGTTTATGCAGTATACCATTAGTAATTTTTTGGGTTAGGACTTGATTAACTTTACTAATGGCTAACTTGCAGAAATATGAAACAAGAGTGGGAGATAAGGGAACTCAGCTTTCAGGAGGTCAAAAACAGAGGATTGCTATTGCCCGAGCCCTCATCAGACAACCTCAAATCCTATTGTTGGATGAAGCTACATCAGCTCTGGATACTGAAAGTGAAAAGGTGGGGCCTCTCTGCTCAAATTCCATTTCATTTGTACAGTAGAAGTTTTTTGGTCATGAACAAAATATAACCAGTAAATTTCTATTTTTAAGTAAAAAAAAAAAACCTTATTCCTTCCAGGAGTTTCCAAATTTTGTAAAATGATCTTAATTTCATAAGCCAAAAGAAAAGCATTCAAAAGAAAACTGCCTACCTCACATTTTTAGCACCTTAATCATGAAAAACTAGAAGATAAAATAATACAAGGGAACTAGTAAGATACATTCATGGACAGAAAATTTAAATACTTGTGATTTAGTGTGAGAATTCATTTTTAGACTAAAAAGGAACTAACTAGACTATAATGCCATTTATGTAAAAATACACATGCATAATAAAAGGTAACATTTTGCTGGGATGGTAAAGGTTTAAGACTTCTGTTCTGATTCACCATTAGACTGTCCAAGAAGCCCTGGACAAAGCCAGAGAAGGCCGCACCTGCATCGTGATCGCTCACCGCCTATCCACCATCCAGAACGCAGACTTAATAGTGGTGTTTCAGAATGGCAAGGTCAAGGAGCATGGCACGCATCAACAGTTGCTGGCTCAGAAAGGCATCTATTTTTCCATGGTCAGTGTCCAGGCTGGGACACAGAACTTATGAACTCTTGTTAGATCTTAAAAATAAATTCAAATTATAACTTTTTCTGACAAACTAGAAATCTTTTACAAATCATAAAATACAGGTATATCTTATTCCATATCAATTTAGAACATCCCATTTGGTGTTGATATGATAGCATCTGAAATTTAAGAGTAAAAAGTGGTAAACTGTCTTGATGAGGTATAAAAACAGCAGCCTAGCTCTTGAGTTACCAGAAACATACAGAGAAAGCAAAGTTCAGATATATAAACTCGTAGAACTAACAGAAATCACAGATCCAGGGAAACTTCTTATGGTCCTGAACAGTTGGGTAGATGACAGGATGGCTGGGGAATAATTTTCACAAGAACAAAGGAAAAATATATTGTTCCAATATATATTGTTCCAATGCCTACTCTCTCCCTTGCTGACTTTCCAAATTATTCTTTTGGGAATGGAGTTGTTGTTTTTTTTTTTAAATAAATGTATTCCCCGGCTTTATCATCAAAGTCCAAGAGAAATGAGATAGCCCTTAGGCTAACTTTATAGACACACATCTGTTCCATTAAGCAAAAAGAAAAAAAAAAAACAACCACATACCACTGAATATCTCTGAAAATTTTAACTCAATAAAAATTTCAATTATCGCAACTGCAATTTGAAACACTGGCAAAAACACTGAAATGCTGAGGTTCTATAGCATCTCCATTACTTTTTATCACTAATTTGCCCATAATATGCGTAGACAGAGCACACATGCACAGACACACATAAAATAAATCAATCCAGGCCACCTTTAGAAGCTAACCACACACTTTTTCCTTATGTTTCCATTTGTTTTCTTTATAATTAATTCACTGAAGCAGTGAATTAATTAGCACTATCCCAGGTTCTTAAGGTCAGCAGACTACCCAAACTAGTAAGTTCCTCTATCTGTAACAAACCACATCTTACCAAAGACGCTTTCAAATGAAACCATGTGTATAGTGGACTAAATTTCATATTAACCAAGAGAAGAATGGGACAAGGGGTACATTACCTCAGGGACTCAAAAGCCTCTGGAACTAACTCTACAGGTTTGGGTAGAGGCCCAGAAATCTCTCTGTAAAAAGCATTCCAGGTGATTTTTAACTTCAGGCAGGTTAGGGAAACATGTTAGAGTATCACAGAAGAGGTTTCTTGGCAGGAAGTGAACACTTTCTAAAATACCCGTCTTTAGACATTATTTAAAAACCACCAACCGAATGATTCTAAAAGCCATTGCAGTGTAGTATATAAAATTGTACTAGTGAGGAAAAAGGTCCACAGTATAGAATGGGAAGAAGAAATCTGTTAGGGATATATCAAGTGCCACAGAAGCCAACTCAATGTTTTCACAAACAATAAACCAGTCTTACCAAATTCAGAAGATAGGAAAATTTAAAGGATGTAAACAACCAGTAACTACACTGTAATCTTGATATACAACATTGCTACAAAAAAGGCCCCCAGTAAATGCACCTACTTACCTACATTTATAAAATGACTTTGCTGTTTTCTCATATCAAGAGATGACACTTTCCCCCCACTCCTTGAATCTAGACTGCTGTTACAACTTTTCACCACTATAATGCAAAGTAAGTAATATCCTGTGACTTCACAGCCTAGGCCTCAAGAGGCCTTGCAGATGCTACCTTTCTCTCTTAGAACACTCCCACTGCCAAGTACCTAAGGCAAGCCTAGAATACTGAATAATCAGACCACATGGACAGAGTCCCAGGTACCAAGTCCTCAGGCTACTATTAAAGTTGAAGGCATCTTCAACTTTACAGCCTCGGTCCAGCACCCTGATGAATGCAGCTGCATAAATAAACTCCACCAAGACGAGAAGAACTATCCAACTGGGCACAATCAACTGATACAATCATGAGAAATAATAAATTGATTTAAGACAGTAAGTTTTGGGTGGTTTTTTTATACAGGGTAATACACAACTTAGACCAGAAAGCATAAGGTCAAACAGGAGTAGATTAGTTATCCAAACACGAAATAAGAAGCTACATGACTAAGAACTTTATTTTCTATTTTGAACAGCAGGAAAAAAACCTGTAAAATCCTGAGAATTTGATTCAGCAATCTTCAAGTCACTAAAATTTTAAAAATAAGTGCTTTAATTTTATATTCACAAAACTAAGTTCAATATACTATAATGAATTTTGTTAGGGTTTTTCTGTGTGTGCTTCAGAGTATAAACCTCCCTCTAATTCTTCTGTCCAAGAGAAGCTCTACTTTTGATGACCATTAAATTGTAGTGGTCTTTGCCATCAAACACAGTAGGCTTGTATCCCTGTGGTCAATGTGGAAGGCAAGGATTTCAGGGAAATTAACATCTTATCATGTATTCCATACCCTTTGGCAACTAGGAAATGTTAAAGTGCTTGACAGACCCTACACAATGATGTTCAGAGAGAGGATTTATAACCTATATAGGTAACCAACAAAAATACTTCTAAGTTAGAGTAAGACTTGCATTATTAAAATTTGTACATTTGCATTGTTGAGGCTTATCTTCAACTTTTGCATAGTTCTATATTTCATTATATCAATTTGCATTGCTACTACAACAGAGGAAGCTTAAAAATCCTATTTTTATCTTCCTATGTGAGAATAAATTTAGAGCATGATTCTACTAATTTCTACATTTAACAAGTTTCCTTAAAATATTCCTTCATATCTCACATCAACCCACTCTCCACACCCAGTTTAATATTTTTATAAATGCTAAATAAATGATTAGTCTCTAAAGATGAGCAGTGTTCATCAGCTGCATCATATCATTGAAAGCCTGAAACACCAGCAGAACTAGCTTTTCCGCATCAGTCTCTGGACATGATTTCCAGGCTGAACAGGCCACAACAAACCTGTGAAGCACAAATAAAAAATGAGTAAGTACTATGCAAAAATCACAACACAAAGAGGCTCCAAATGGTGACGATGAATACACCCATGACCTTTACTCCATCTAGCTATTCACATATCAAGTGTGAATTCTTGCTGACATTAGGTAAATGTAACTGGACACAACTGAAGGTAAAACCATATGTATACATAATGCTAGCAATACCTAATCTGTGTGACTGGAGACTAAGGACAACAGGAACAAAAAATTAGCCAGAGCTCAAGAGTGCTTTGGAGTAAGGTCTTCGTCTGTTTAACCAACCCACCCACCTCTTCCTAAAAACAAGAACAAAAAAACCTTCCTAACATTCCATAATGTAATGAGTTTGAGAGTGAATTCATGCCACTGTTTGCACTGAAACTTGAACTATTTGGGGAGGGTATGTGCTATGGTGAGCACTGTGAATTGTGTAAGACTGTTGAATCACAGACCTGTACCTCTGAAACAAATAATATATGTTTAAAAGAAAAAGAAGATAGCAGGAAGCGAAGAATGAAGGGGGGAAATCAGAGGAGGAGATGAACCATGAGAGACTATGGACTCTGAGAAACAAACTGAGGGTTCTAGAGGGGAGGGGGGTGGGGATATGGGTTAGCCTGGTGTTAAGTATTAAAGGGGGCACATACTGCATGGAGCACTGGGTGTTATATGCAAACAATGAATCACTGAACACTACATCAAAAACTAATGATGTGGGGGATGGAGCAAGATGGCGGAGGAGTAGGAGACCTGGATTTTGTCTGGTCTCAGGAATTCAGCTGGATAGGGATCAAACCATTCTGAACACCTACGAACTCAACAAGAGATCAAAGAAAAGAATAGCAGCAACTCTCTGAACAAAAGAGTGACCACTTTCTGGAAGCAGGGACCCAACAAGAGGCAGATCCAGGGAGACCCCCCTTTTGCCCCGGGAGAAGGGGCACGGGAGCGCACCACAGGGATCTGCTGGGTTTGGAGACTCCACACGGGGTCGGGTGCCAGAGACAGAAACGCTCAGTCACAGGCCGGGTGACCACAGAGTGCGGCTGGAGACCGGGGAGACGGGAATGACTGCTTTTCTCTGAGGGCGCACTGAGGAGCGGGGCCCCAAGTTCTCGGCTCCTCCGGGGCGGAGATTGGGAGGCCGCCATTTTCACTTTCGTCCTCCAAAGCTGTATGGAAAGCTTGCAGGGAACAAAAGCTCCTGAGAGCAAACCCCAGCAGATTCCTTAGCCCGGGGCCATCAAGGGCGGGGCAATTCCGCCTCCGGCAAAGATATTTGGGAACCACCCCCCAGAAGATCAGCAAGAACAGCCAGCTAAGACCAAGTTTACCGATCAATGAGAACAGCACATCTCCAGCGCTAGGGGAAGACTGCACATAGAATTCATGGCTTTTTTTTACCACGATTCTTTAGTCTTTCAAAGTTAATTTTTTTTTAACTTTTTTTTTT